GGATTTTGACACAGGTGTTCTGAGATTAGGTTATTTCGTGCACCACTCGTATCACTCGACTCAGATTCACACTCGGAAGCTCGTTGGTATTCAAACTCTCCGGAAAAACTTGCATGTGCTGCCACGGCCTGTTGTCCAGGTGAAAGAGGGAATGCTTCCTCAGTGTCCACCGACTCCTCACTGCTCGTACCGCAACTTTCAAGTTCCTTGCGAACACTTTCGGCTACTCTACGTCTTTTTTGGCGATCGGATAGCTCTGATAGCGAACGCTTCGCCCGCTCCATTGTTCAGCACAAGTAGTAACAACGAAAATGAAACATACCTTTGTTTACGTTTCCTCCACGCCGAGAGATCGGCAGAGCGGTCCGATGAAACCATGGATGAAACAGGCCTTGACGGCTTGACCAGCTTGACGGTCCGTTGACATACGGTCACGTGGTTAACCTGGCTTCGACCTTGCTTGGCTTGAGCTACTTGCACTCTTGGCGTCTTGGCTTGTCAACAGTGTGCGTAAACGAGTAAACTACTAAACATAAAGTTTCAAGTAGGAATAAACTGTGGAAATTTATCAGTACTAAAATAAGTTTTTTTTAAGAGTTATACAACATTACATTGATTGGAGAAATTGGAAATTGGTTTAAGCCGTACAGCCATAACCGTAATGCCGTACTAGTGTGCAATCATGGCGGACGATGGCGATCTTGCAACGTCTGGCAGTGATCAGTGGATGACCTCGACCGTAATATCGGTAACGATAGTGAACGGTTAACATCGAAACGGTAGTACCGTAGCTATGCGACTGTGCTGTGCCATTGTGATGTGTCCAGATAACAAATGTAGGCAGAGTGGTCCACGCAGAGCGAGCTTCGAAGCCTCAAGCTCAAATATGTTCTCGTGTCGACGGCTCTTTGGCGAGAAGTGAACGGGGGCTAACAATGTGTGTGCGATTATACTCGTTTCATTATAATTAGGGTCCATGTTAGATGAGCGAATGACATTTTAGCAAACAGCGGCATTTGAGCGAATCGACGTTTTAGCGAATAACGGGGGCGCGCGTTAACCCATCCGCCGCGCGGCGAGTCTGCGGCGGCTCATTACAAAAATGTGAACCCACTTGGCCCACCCGAAAACGCCGCTTCGCAGCGTCCGAATTTTCGCTAAAGTGTCATTCGGTGAAACGTGGACATTCGCTAACACGTCACTCGATAAAGTGAGTGCCTCCCCCCTTGGGGCCCTTCATTTTGAGTGGTCGGTGGAGTGCGTCCTTGTATCCGTGGCCCTTGATGCTAGATCTCCTTCCTACCTGCCCCCCCCCCCTCTCACTCGCTTTTCTTTAATCTCACCCCATTCCCGTCCCATCTCTCCTATGTTGCCTTTTCTAACCTTTCACTCCTCATTTCCTCGCATGATTTAATGTTTGTGGCCCCCCCCTTCCCCATCTTCATAGGATTATATGTTCGTTGCCTTTGACCTTTGATCTCGACTTCGGACCCTTGACTGCTCCTCCTCGCCATCTCCCCTTCTATCTCCTCGGTCTCCTTATTCCTCCCTCCCCTCTTCCTCTACTCTCTTGTCCACCTTCCTCTTCCCGCTACCCATCCTACTCATCTTTCCTCCCCTCTTCCCCCTTCTCTCTCGTTTGAGTGATTCTATGTTCATGGCCTTTGACCTTTTCTTTTTGGTGGCAGCTGCATATGGCTCTTCATTTTCAGTGGTCGGGGAGGTGTGATCTTGTGTCCATGCAACCGAGGCCTATGACCTGCGATGTTTTACGTCTTACCTGGCCCCACCCCGCGCCATCTCCTCATTCCCCATTGGTCTCATATTCCCTCTGTGTGCTCTTCCTCCCCTCTTTCCTCTCTCCTCCGTCTGATCTTGCTCCTCCCTGCCCCACTTCTCTTCATCTTTCTCTTCATGCTCCCTCAGCCTCTCATCCTCATTCCCCTTTTCCTTTTGTCTCCTCTCTTCCTTGTGTGAGCGTGTGTTTTTGGCCTTCGACCCTCATACTTGACCTCTTTCTTCCTGCCTCTATTCTCCTTCCCATCTCATCGCTCACCTTCCCCCTCAACCGTCTCCCTTTTCCCCTCCTCTGTCTATGAGACGATGGCTACCGCCAGTCGTCTCACTTGCAGTGTGCTGCAATGAGCCGCCACTTTTTGAGTTTTCCGAATAGAGTGCTGAGCTGTAAATTGGACTGAAATATGAGCTTCTGCATGTAACTATTTCAAATTTTCAACCAGGGTGTATCTTATACTGCACGCTCCAAGATTTCTCTAAATCTCTATGGCAAGCACTGGCGCAGACAACCGAGACAGGGCGAGAGTAAGAATCACCCAGTCGCTCGATTTGACCTGAGTTCGTCGTGAAATTAGTCCTCGCTTCTATTTTAAATAGTAGAAATCATTTTGCAGCAAGCTCGGGTCGGATAGAGCAGTCGGTCGACCCCAAGAGCTCTCTGCGACCTGGCCGTAGGGTAATCATGTTCGTATTTTTCACAGAAACAGAGCTACGCTTCGAAAATAACGCAATAGAGCACACAACTAAAATACACGTTTGGTGATAATTTCAGCTAGCTACGTGTTCCAAATTAATTTACAGGCTACGACTCTCATGCCATCCTATACATGTTCGGGAGGTCTTTGGGTCGTCGCGTCACCAGCGTGAGTTTTCCACCTTTGATAACACAATAACACCCCATGACTTCACCCTCTTGTTATCTTTAGCATGCGTTCCAAAAGCTGGACATTCGAATGACCTTAACCTAAAAGCTATTATGAGGGTGCATGCTAGGTCGTGAATATTGAGCAGACTCGCCAACCCGTTAAGGGGCAGGAAGGAAGCAAGGAAATGCCATACACACAAATGAATTCAATTTTATCATAAACCTTTTGGACAGATATGTTTTTTAATTTTCTGCAATCTTTCCAGGGTACATTTTGAACATTTGTTTCAAACACGCCCGTCACAAGCATTAGAGCGGTCTTTCTGTTTGTAAAAAAATTAAAATGTTTGAACAAGAGAATCAACATTGAACTATTATAAGTTTGGTATCTTCGTGTATCCTTGACCAGCCTCTGTGTGATGTGGTGATGCGTCACATTTCGTCACATTAGGCCAACATCGCTGCATAACATTGCCCGTATGTCAGGATGGAAATGTTACCAAGAGGTTATTTCTAAACGTTGCTCCAATGTTGCTTCTCTAACATTCCTGGAACGTTTGCCTATGTGATGTAACGTTACATGACATTCAGTGACAGTCAAACAATGTTACAGGAGAACGTTTCTGTTACGTTAGTTTTCAAACATTGCTATAACATACCCAAATGTGCCCCAACGTTACATTACATTTGTGACATTCCAGTCACGTTATGGCAACATATGGTGCTACTAGGGAGGAGACACTTACTATCGGGCAACGAAGCACGGTGCCTGTGGGGGCGGAGTCTAGGAACGCTACTGATTAATATTGTGACAGGCGATCAGTTATGGTAGCAGACGAAACTTCGACTCGTTTGTTCAGAAGTTCGCGGTGATATTTTATTAGCCCTCGTTACAGCACACCAAGGATCTTAGGCAGTGAAATTCACATCACGCAGGCTCGTCCGTCGTTGTCAAATGAGCGCAGTCGACGATGAGGTGTAATGAGCTACAAAGCTTCACAAGGAAAATGCGCGTGAGAAAGAGTTTTGAGGAAGTCCAAAACACCGATCCAGCAGACGCACGTACGTACGTTTACTCCGGACTTCATGAACCCGACGGCGCAAGATCAAAGAGCACCGCCGCCATCGCCACCCGGTTTTCTCTGCACTTTGCGCGACGACGGCACTGCAACGGAGGGCACTCGCCTCGGCGTTAACAATCCGCGAAATAGATTAATTTCCCACTCTTGAAGCCATTCCAAATGATAAATGAAAATACCTCGGCGTTGTTGAACATCTGACGACACAACCAACACAACTGTGCCGCTGGCTGCGTGAGCCTGACAACTGTGCCGAGCGCCTGCTCGGCACCTTTGTTGCTCGTGAAGGCCTGCTTATTTGTAGTTGAGACGATGATTCCACATCTTTCGTGGTGCTTGCAATAACTTCGAAGGGCAGGGCAACCTTCTCACGAGGACGTTGAAGACACTCAACACCGGAGCCACCAAAGCAATCGCACAAACCGTCGCCATGTTTGCTTCTTCTTCGTCACTCGCGGCGCGGTCAACTCGTCGCGAGATCTTTTCTTACTCGGCTAGATGGAAACCAACAGCGGCAAAGTGGCCTATGGACACACGGCTCTCACATTACGGGCACTATACTCACATACCGCGGTAAACAGGACCGATGCCGGCGAAACGGCAGTCGGCACACCAGCGAAGAAGCCCTTAGCGGGAAGCGGCGGCGCAGGCCGACGCAGCCCCCCCTCCCCGTGAGTGTCTGGGTTCGAGATTATTGTTCGCTTTTGCTCCTGGCGGTCGAGGCTAAAAAGAGCACTTCCGGACAAAGGTCTATAACAAAGGTTTAACAACCAAGATCTAAGCTGTCAATCAAACTCTTAGCCAATGAGAACCTTTTGGGAATGACGTCACATAATCACAACTTCGTGGCGCGCGATTTAAAACGGACGAAATAGCCGCAAACTAAAATGAGTCTCGCGCAATAAATATTGCTGTAAAAAATGTTTTTTCTCGCGGAAAAATTGTTTTTTGACATGCTTGTCCCAATTAGGCTATTTTAAAAAAAACTTTTTTTTCTTTGCAGTTACCCTTTAAAGGCGAAGCTTACGCTTCCTCGTGTAATTTTCGTAAAACAGGACGAAAAGAGCTTCGACTTTTGTTGGAGTTTATTTTGGACCATTATACGAGAAACACCGAAGTGCGGTCTAGGGTGTCGCACTGACCCGAGATTTCGAAGGAACAAAGGGGCGCACTTTGGACGCCAAAACAATCGTACCTTGGTAAGCGTGGCGTGGGCGAACATATACTTCGTTCAAGAAAAAGCATGTTTTGCTGCTTACCCAGAATCACTTTATGGAAAAAGATGATGGCCACCTCCATGTTGGTGAGAAAGAAGAGGCAGGCGAAGATGGTGAGCAGGTAGAGACTCGACCCCAGTAGAGCCTTTAGGACCCGCAGCCGGAACCCGTGCACGTACGTCGCCTGCAGTCGTTAATTGCGGAGCTATTGGGACTTTCTTGCGAGGTAAAACCATGAGGCAAATCGGGGGTTCTGATTGGCCTTCTTGAACGTTCCGCTTTTTTCGGAAGTTCCAGATGATCGCGACGTTGCGTTGTCTGTTTGAGATAAGGCGGCCTGAGGCAGTAACCTGAGCTGCGAACTTTGCAGCGTCACGGGGAGTGAAATGTGCTAACGTGGCATTCACGCGACTCGATATAGCCAGCCGGTAACAGCCAGGCGGCGCCAGCAGAGTGAAAGCCCACGGTTACACCCTGTCTCGTAACTTGGCAAAGGGTGAACGATAAGCCCCACATTGCGTGATACTTTTTCGGAATTGAGGCGCACTCTGGCGATACGCAGTCACGTTCCCATTTGCCCGCCAGAGCCGTATACCTTCTGCTGTACTGTCATGTTACGCGTTCACGGCATCCTGTGATACCCAGTATTTCTCGCTTCAGACACTAGGCTAAGCGGCGCCACCAGAGTGAAAGTTCACGTTTGGACAATGTAGCCGCCACTCCCAGGGGTGCCCAATATTTCTAGCTCTAGTCGCTAGGTGGCACCTAACCAAACAGCATTGCAGGTTGCCTATGACGGGACCACCCAGGACGGTGTGGCGACATGATGGGTCTGGTTATATTGTCGGTAAACAGCAGTTTTGGCTGCGAAAGCAATGCCCGCGTGGCGTGCTAAAAGCGGCGGCCCATGGCGAAATTCAGGACAAGCAAACGTCAAGATGGCCAGGTCCAATAAAGCCGTAAGCACATCTTCGTGGCGGCATCCCGTGCACGAGGAAAACAGTGACGGCTGTTCAAACACGCGTCGCCCCACCCCCTATGCTCTTTCCACAGGGTAAACTAGGGGGACGTGTGGAGTCGGAAACAAAAATCGCCGCGGCGTGTTTCTAGTTGCCGAGGACGCTCGTATTTGTGACGTGATTGAAAACAGGCCAATCAGGCGCCCCGGATTTTACTTCATGGGAAAATCCCAATACGCAGCAAGGATAAACTTGCCCGTACAGAAATGCCATATATCATATTGTATTAATAGATACTGGTGAAAATACGGCCATATTGCCACGTACGTTGGCGAGCAAGAGCGTGTGTGGCCGAGTGGTTACCGCGCTTGACTTTCGCGCGGAAAGTGTAGGTTCGATTTCAGTCAGCAGACTGCCCTTTTATTTACTCTTTCAACTTGGCCTTCTCGTAAGTTCGAGAAGATTCTCGTCTGATCGAGTTCCGAAAGTTCTACGCCGAATGATCCAGAAACCCACGAGGGCACACAAGGGAGCGGATTCACTTTCGCCTCAGCGTTCGATCCTGCTGTTTTGCCGACTTCGACGCCCGCGACGCTCTGTTTTTTTCTTTTTTTCCTTTTTGTTTTGGGCACAATTTCGCCCCATTAATCGTTTAGTTTCCCCAGTTATTCTTTGTTTTATTACCTCTTCATTCGTGACAGTATATCACCATATAAACGAGCAAATATCATATATTGACAGGTCATGCCATGTATAGATAGAAACATCCTCTGATATGATAAGTAGATCTTACTGCTGTCTGCCGCCTCTTTATATTTTACGGTCATGTTCGGAGCCGGTCGCAGTTTTGGTTACCATCTCCCGCCACTTCTCCGCAGAATTTCGAGGTTGTACGTTTTTCTTTCTTGACATTAAGTCTGTCGCTTTGCGGAGCCTCCAGCGGGATCTAGGGGGCAGCTGCCAACACCACCAATAATTATAATAATATTAATAATAATAATAATAATTCTGGTTTCTTTAGTTGTCGGTTGATGGGGGGAGGGGCAAAAGGTAAACAAGTCTTAGGCGAAGAGGATCCAAAATTCTTGCACACTGCTTAGCAAGAAAAACAAAACACAACAAAAAAGAACAAAATCGTTGTCCTGTCTAAGCTGACAGTGCAGTGGAAGTTACGTGCTCGTTGTACATTTGCCGCGGGATAGCGCTTCCTCCCGTACGCGCAGAGCAGGGTTAGGTGATGAAACGGAGGCGGTTGATTTGTACGGCGAGTGTTTATTTCTCATAGCACTGTCAGCGTTGGGGTGAACGGAGTACCACCCGTGAGATTAGTTACCACACTCTTAAAAAAAAGCTAGTAGTCTTTACTAGGTAAGAGCTTGTAACTGCTTGAAACATACGTTACTAGGTATGTAGTAACCATATGTAGTGACGGGCAAGCTAGTAACAAATACCAGTTCAAGAAACTAGTAACTGTTTGTAGCGTCAATGCAGAACCCGTCTATTTCACTGCCTCTAACTAGTAACTCGCACTACCTTCCGACAAAAGACCGGTAATGCAACGAGTCATGTTATTTCCGGTCAAAAAGAGGCGTGAATCCAGGTGGCGCTAGTCACCGTCCAATTAAAAGTTTAAAAAAGAAACCGATTATCAGTGATGTGATTGCTGCGCCAATTGCGCCAGACTGCGCCAAGGGGCTAACTCTGCTACCTCCTGCTACATTTGGCCAAAATATGGCTAATCTGCGCCGAGCCTGCGCCAAAGGAGCAATCATGGTCGCCTTTCAAAAATGAAACTAAACTGAGAACCGTAATTGAGCATGCGTTGGCTAGGTGCAACGTTACTAAAACACTCAGTTGGGAAACTCCCATAGAGACAGCTTTAAAAAAATGGCCCCAATCTGTCTCCGAGCACCGAGGTAATGACGAACACAACGCCACCATTTCTCCCGCAGCGGCCACTCGAGGCACTGCAAGTGACTTCTATCTTGGCCAGTGTTGGACAAAATACTCGATAAAAGTATTTAAGTTAAGTTACTAAATACCTGCGTCATAAAGTATTCAAAATACCACTCAAGTTACTTTCACTGTAAAGTATCTTGAGTAGAGTACAAATACTTAGAAATGGGTTTCAGTTACTTCTGAAGATACTTCCGCATTCCTTAATTTGTATCGGCGTAATTGACAACGACAATTATGCAGCTACGCAAATCTGGGTTACCAGAATGGTTTATTACCACGCAACAACACAAAAGGAAAAAGAAAGTACCGTAGGGGCTATTTTATGCAGTTGTCACGAATGATAAATGATGAGGCGGCGAATAACTGAAGAAACTAAACGTTTAATGGGGCGAACTTGTTAACAACACAAAAGAGAGAAAGGCCAGCGTCCCAGGCGTCGATGTCGGCGAAACAGCAGGATCGACCGTTGGGGCGAGACTGACTCCAGACCTCCACTCGGAGCACCTCTTGTCCCCTCGTAGGTTTCTGGAACATTCGGCGTAGAAAGTTCGGCGCGTAAAACATTCGTAACTCAAATCAGACGACCAAATTCTCGAACTTACCAGAATGTCATGTTGTAGGAATAAATAAAAGAGAAGTCCGCTTTCTGGTATCGAACCCGGAGCCTCCGTGCGAGAGCCAAGCGCGGTAGCCATTCGGCCTCGCTGGGATTTTTTTTTCTTTTTGTTTTCTTTATTTTTCGGCCACGCTGGGCAACGCACGGGGAAATATCACTGATAGATGTTACAAAACATTTCTGGGACAACAAGAAAAAGGTTGCTTTAGCTTTTGGGGAGGAGACCAGACCGTGGCGCCCCAAGCGGTTAGCTTTAGAACTAGATGGATGGGGACAACAAATACAATGGCTCAGCGCTCGGCTGACTTAAACGCCGCGTTCGGTTGGAGTTCGTGTTCTTCGGTGAGGGGGAGGAGGGGCTCTTTTGTTACCACTCCGGCCTGCATGAACAATACAGCATGCACCCTGCCCAGCTCAGCGCAAAAGCCCAAATGGGTCAAGTTCGTATCCTCTGACGACTGCTTTCGAGGGAGATCCGGCACTTAACGTCACTTCACTAAGTGTTGGTATTTTTTTTCATTACACTATGCCCGCGCTCTATTAAAAAAAGGTTACACGAACATGCCCACAAAGCCTGTGGGCATGTGCATAGGCCTTGCGTTGGGTAAACACCGAGGTGTGGGGGTGACAGACGGATGAGAGCGCTTCGACAATAGTGACATCGCTGAATATCACATCCTGCGGCGCACCTTAGACTTTCTTAGTCTTTCTTAGTCTTTCTACAATCCATATTCCCTATAATCAAGTTCACTATAAAGAAACTTGGGACACGGATATGAGTGAATGGATAACAAAGAGAACCCACATAATAGCCACGGCAGTGGTCGCACTTTCTTCAAGTAGGTTGGGTTCAGAAAGGCACTCAGCGTTGGGGGTCGCTTTGTTGAGATTTTGAGAGGTCGTCCAGCTCGGAGTTCGTTTCCTGTACTGATCTCTGCTTATCAGTGTTCCCTTGCAGACAGTGTTCGCGAGAGCAATATGTGCCAAACTGACAAAAAAAAAACTTTGACGTTTTGCTGTAGCGGGCTCAAATATACAAAAAAGCGAAACAAAAATGTCGACTTTTTTGTGTGTGTCCACTCTTATTTTCTCCTATTCGTTATTTCTTGACACCTAAGTCTGCGTTGTTCTCGTAGGTCGTTTCCCGGTCTGCTTGCGCCTCCGGGTGGCACCTTTACTTCCGTAAAACCACTTTTGGCTTGAGGATATTTTTTTATATTTTGTTTGGGGGGGGGGGGGGGGAACTCTATAGAAACAAAAGGCGCCTTTGGGAAGGCGAGGGGAGAACCTTCATTGTACGAGCTTTGGGCTGAAATATGAGTCACAGTCGGCAAAACGCTATATTTTCACGAGCTCAGTTAAAGTCACCATAGCTAATCGGAGCTAGCAACAGGATTCGGTTGCTCGAAAGAATGTTCACGTTTGCTCGTGCCACGCCCACCCCACTTCATACCGAAAAACTTGGAAAATGGCGGAATGTCAAAAATGTATTTAGGATAATGAGTACACGATACTCGGAATTGTAATTAAAATAGTGTATTAAATACTCTCCATCAAAGGTATTTGCAAGATACCAAGATACTCCAAAAAGTATTTAAGATACAATATCTTGAGTAGAGTATTTGAGATAGGCACAAGTATGATCTTGGCTTTAAGAACAGACACAGCGGTAGAGGGTACAGGGGTGCCACCTCCGTCTCCCCAGCGGACGCGCCGCGTTCAACTACCGAAGTTAAAATGCACTATAGGTCTGGACGCGCTACCTGAAAGGCCCGCTGAGGCATGGTTGTATAAAAACAATATTAATTGTTCTGCAAAACCTTACGAACCAGAGATGATAAAAACATCACGCGCCCGTTATTTGGTACTAAACTCCAATACATTTCATACAAAAAGAGTCTTTTCCGTTTGTTTTTACGCAAAAACAGGCTTTCAAAAAGCTTGAGGTGACCATAGTACAGACAAGCTAAAAAGAGTGGCGCTGTTGTCGCATTTAGCTCGGTCTCGGTGGACGCCAGCAGCCCAGGTTTCGACGGCGAGTTTCCCAACTGAGTGTTTTAGTAACGTTGGCTAGGTTGCACAAGAGGCCGCCCGACACAAAGTACCCTGCATCAATCGTCTGTGCGGTCTTGTATGATTTTTCCCACCGTCTCGCGTTTCGCGCTCTCGTCGTGTCTCGGGAATCTTATCTCGCGTCTTTTTTTATTAATTGTTTATTTTTTAGCGATAGAAGCGGGCGTGTGCGGACACTCCGACGTTAGTGTGCCGGGTTCCAGACATGCCGTCATGCTGTGAAACAAAACCACGTTTTTGCGCGGCGAGAGTTACTTTGTGAGCTAAAGCGCTCGCGCGACCACTGTGCCGTGGTTGTGCGACGTCGTGTGTTGCCGTCCGCACGTCGCTGCAGATATGGCGATTTCTAAACTGAACCGCATCGACATTCCTGTTGTTGTTTAAATCATACGCTGCTACAAAAATCCCTATTTAACTCAATGACTGCTGTGTCGAAGTATTGATTACCTAGGTTTCTCTCGGTGGGCTTTCTTCGGAGAGGGACCCCGGTACATAAAAAATCTGCCGCGAAAGAAAGTTGATGACGAGAAGTGAGCTAAAGCAAAGAAGACAATGTCTTCACGCTGAACCTTCACAGCGCGCTTGTTTGTCTCGAGTTCAGTCGTTGCACAAAGCGCTCCAAGAACTTTTTGACCCTAACTCGCAATGTCTTGCATGAATACGCTCAGGTTTTTTTGTTTTTTTTTTTCTGTGTATTTAGCTTGTACCTCGCCCGCCGGCCTGGCAAGCATGCGCCGCTGGACTGTTTATTGTCGTATGCTGGATAATTACATTTTGTACATGTATACTATTTTGGGAATTAGTTGGCGACGGAGCGGAGTGGCATGGTTTCGGTCGAACAGCCGTTGTCTCCGCTCGTGCAACGAAGCGCGTCTAACTGCAAGCCTACCAAAGTTGCTCTCACGTGCATGTGAATATGATGGCACGAGAGGCACCAGCCGGGACGTTTGCAATCCATTGTTTTACGTTTGCTTAGTTTTTATAAAAATATGCCACGTTGGGAACCAGTAAAACGAAAGCAGGTGTTTTTTTTCTTGGTTTTTTTCGCCATTGCTTGGCAATGCCTACAGCACTTCATACTTGTGGGATGTTTCAGCAGCAAAACACAAGCAGCGAATTCCGCCCCAACACATCACAAAACAACACAAAGTGCCCTTCGTTTGTCGAGCACTTGAAACAAATATTTATTTTTCTAAGAAATATGCTCCAAAAGTCACTTTTTCTGCTCCAAAACACTGTTTTGGCTGCTCCAAAGGCCACATTTGCTGCTCCAAAACACTGTTTTGGCTGCTCCAAAAGGTGCTCCAAAATGGGTCAGGCCAATCACATCACTGGATTATATATATAACTTATTTCAACGCTACCACATTAGCAACTAGATGCACATCTTGCACGCAAGCATTTTCAGTGCACAACAATTGATACGACGGTTGCCCTACAAGGCCCTACCTCCATTCGCTGGCAGAGCCGGCAGCCCCTGATGGCCGTCGTCACAATCTCTAGGGAGATGCCGAAAGCGTTGAGCGCACACCAGATCTGCACGGCCCTGGTCATCTGGTGCCAGACGCAGACAAAGCCGAAGCAGGCAACCGTACCCACGCATCGAAGCAGCTTCGGTCGGCCGCCGCCCACCAGCGGTTGGTATATGTACCTGCAACCGCAGGGCAAGCGGATGAAAGTTGCTGGGCTCTCCAGGTTGGCGGAAGAACTGCTAAAGCATTAATAAAATACTTCGCCACAAATTAGTCGAATCTTACAGTGAGGTGCGCGACAAAGTGCTCGTCTCCAATAGGAAGCTGCGCGAGCCTTGCACTTTAGGGCGAGTGGCAGGCTTTTCGTGTCTTTGAACTTCCTCATTCGTGCGGTTACGCAAAGTGGTAGAAGCCTGCGAGCATCCACTTTATTCAGGCAAGTTGTTAGCCTGCTTGTGGCCCACAACCTTTAGGCAATTTTTTTAGGGGGATATGGGTAGGGGGGAAGATCTGTTGCTTCGAACCAGTGATACCAGGACCTTTGGGAGCTAGAATTCAAACTACATTTGGAGAATTTTACTCTTTGAGATCTCGAGTTTTGCTGGACAATATCTGACCCACTACAATTTGCGTTTTTGTCTGATTACAGAGGTTGAACAATTGATGTTTTATCATAATATACGTTGAAGTTAGTATTTGAGATTCCACAACCAATAACCATTCAGATATCTTTTTAGATATACCTCACCGATAGTGCTGTTTGCATACAATTCTCGGGCCAGGCCGGCATATTTCTTTCACTCTGGATTTGCTTCTATGTAACACATATCAGAAATTCTTGTTATTGTGTTTTCGTATGTAACGGAAGCAAACATTTCTGTTTGCTATTACAGGATTTTTTTTCTTTAATATGGACGTCTCCAGTCCCCAAAACAATTTTCTATAATGTTAGTCATCCATATTCATGAATCAATGCCAAGATCACAAATAATAAACAATGATAGTGGTATGTTGTTCATTTTAGTCATCTGCAACTGAGATATAGGAAAGAACTGCGAGTGATCCAGGCTGGAAACCCCTGAAAATTTTAACCATCATCAGTCTTCATTGTCTTATCTGACAGGGGTGAAGCTCTAGGCAAATTCTGTGACCGAAGAGCTTTACTATTCTTTTTGTCTCACTAATATTTTTTCTTCCTTTTTTGTCTTTACAGAGACCACAATAAAAATATACACAATAAAAAGATAAAAACGTCTATTTACCGATTTCGTTCTCAAGCCAGCTGTCCATAGTCCGTACTCCGGGTTTCTTTATTTAATGTGACGAGTTAGAATTGTATGGCAATAGATATCAGCCACTGAAAATAGGACCTATATAGCGACGTGACCGAAACGATCGACCATGTTAGCGAGACATGACCGTATTGTGTTTCTAAATCCCGAAGGCAGATATTCTCGCGCCGTAGTTGCATATGTGTTTACGAAACTTTAAACAGTCACTTGCCGAACTATAGCAGTAATATTTGGTGCTTGCCGATAGCCTTTAAAAGTAAAACTGCACTATGCGTGTTCGCGCTATCGGTGTCGCACATTATCTCTTCACTGTAGTACCTCTTACTAACGTAGATACTGCGCGCATTATTAATTTTTTTTTTCCGCAAAGCAACGCTTGTTTAAAGTAACTGTAAATTGTCTTGCTTTGTCATGCAAAAGACTGAATAAATGCGCCAACGAGTGTGAAAAATGCTGCATCTGTTTCGATTCCCTGGAAGACGCTGACGACAAATAACAGACTGTCACCTGCTGGACACAAGGTAGGCAAGCAGAACTTACAATTCTTTGCCATAGAAAGTGGCATGGCACGCGCGAACTGGAAAATATGAAACAAAAGCTACCGCAGTACCGGCGGTACCGCGGTAGGAAGCAGCGGCAAGGCACGGCGGAGGGCCTGCGCCATGTTTGATTTAGAGCGCCTTCGTCTTCGCAAACGGCTAGAAGCCACTCAAGATAACTCGACGGCGTCAAAAGTCGTAATTGAAACGTTAGCGCTCCATTTTATAAACATGGTTTTTGTTTCTTATTTTAGTTTCGCAATCTATCGATAGAGCATAGCGAGTTTGAGTAGCCCGTGTTTGCCCCTCCGCTACCCGAAACTCTACAGCGATGGCCATCGGCGCGCGGGCGCAGTAGCGGTTTCTTCGTAGCGGAGGGCTAGCGAAGGGGGAAACACGGTCTACTAAAACTCCCTAATGAGTCGCCGATTCGTTGCAATAATGAGCGGCTCCGACCATGGTAGCGCTGCTGAGCGCCCGGTTTACCCAGAAATCGACTCCATTGGTTCTATGGCAGTAACCGGACACTGCTTTTGTGTCGCCGCACTGTCGCCCGGTCGACACCTGCGGCTTGCGCGCGGCACGAAAAGGTCGATGCTAGAAGCAGCAGCAAGCTGCTTGCGCGCTCGCCAGCGGAGCACGCCCATGGTGCCTCCTCCTCCTGTCCTCCACCTGGCGTGCGCAGTTTTATTGTTTGTTATACGTATTGTAATTTTATTAAAAGCTGTACTTATGGCAAAACAGCGCGACATACGAGATAGAACAAGTTCGGACACATGACGAGTGCTGACTCTCAGCTGAAGGTTACTACTACTATGTAGTATTTAATATATGAACACATGCATAGTCCACTCCCAGAGCTCGTCTATTAACCTCTCTTGTTCTTAAGGCTCGTATGCCTCGCTGCGAATGCCATAATGCAGATCTACCAACTCGCTCACTCAACGTCACCCTGCACAGATTCTAGCCCGTTCTGTCCAGCGCACCCATTATTTATCGCTTTTATGTATCGGATGCCCAGCGACATCTGTTCAGTGCTGTCATTGATTTCGCTTTGCGCATCACAGGGGCGAAATGAAACTTAAAACATTTCGTGCACAGAAGACCCGTAGTGCTTGAACAACGTGCCACGCGCGGTTTCTAAGAAATAGTGAAACGTCATAGACGAAATAAAATTTGTTTATTAACACAACCATACCCTTTGTGAAAACAAAATGCTGCAACAGACCGACGCGGATGCCTCGGCACCGCAGAAGCAGCTCCAGCAACAGCCTGGGCCGGCTAAATAAATTACCCTGTCCGAACAGGGCGTATCGCAAAGAGCAATAGCCATTTTAAGCGGCCGCCCATTTTACACGAGAAACAGGATCCTGCAGGCGTTCCATTAAGAGCAGTGGATCTCCTAGCACTTCGTGCAGTCGCCTCCAGCAGCTAGGACTGAAGCCGTTCGACGGGGCATACTTTTATATGGGCGGGTTACCAGGTCCGAAACGCGCAGGTGCTCCCACTCAGCTTTGACCGCAGCCCACAAGTCGTCCGCCGAACGCCGCTGGAGAGGCCGGTAGGAAAGACTTTTCTTCATGCCTCCCTCCCGACATTTTCAATGATGTTCATGTCTGACCCTTGGGGAAGGGAGGGGGGGGGGTGGCACTCAAGAACCATTATCCCCCGGTCTTCCAACAGTTCTGTCACGGACCATGCCTTGTGGATTGGGCTGCGGTGTTGCTGAGGGTAGAAGTAGCCGTCGCTGAACGAGCCGTACATAACGTACGGCAGTAGTACGGTCTTGATGACGTCCATGTAAACGGCGGCGTTAAAGCGGCCATCAATTAAGGCGCACCAAGGGACCCAGTCCGTCCTTGGAGAGCGCGCCCCACACGATCACTGAGCAGCGGTCGCAACTGGCGACGATCTGGGAATTTATCGGGCTGAACTTGAAAAATTGGTAAATTATTTCGTCAGCGTTTGTCTAAGTTGAATGAGTTACGTGAAGTAGCGCGCTGGTGCTCAGTAGTAATTGTCAAGGAATTAAAATAAAAGCACGTGCTGGATTCTATGTTTTTAAGACAGAGTAAACTGAAAAATCAATTGCCTAGCATTCTCAACACTTGGCGAGAAATCTGGCGGGCGTGATTGGCCAGTGCCGCACTTGACCTTGTCGCTGGCCAATCAGAGCCGTGGGATTTCTCGCCGACTTTTTCGCCAAGTGTCCAGATTAGGGCCACCGGTCTGCTCGCCAGATCCGCTGACGCTTGTCCCAGCGCGTCGTGAAGACATTCATCTGTGAACAGCACGTTCTGCCAGTCTGCCACTGTCCACGATGAATGTTCTTCCGTTAACAGCAGTCGTTTCTGCCTGTTCTCAGCCGAAAGCATCGGCTTTCTAGCAGGCACGCGGCTGCGCAGGCCAGCTTCGTGCAGCCGTTCACGTATTGTCGAAGCGCTTACTGTAAGGGCCAGTTCACGGCATATTTCTTTAGCCGTCAGCGTTGGGTCGTCTACTGCAGCAGTCACGATCATTCGGTCTTTGTCCTCCATCGTAACCTTTATCTTGAGCCACGCGGAAGGTTTTCGATACGCCTTTCAAAACGGAACGCTTTCAAAATCCTATTGAGAGTCGACACCAAGCGGCCGCTTAATCTGGCTATAGGTCTTTGCGATAGGCTCTGCTCTGTCAGGATGATAATTTATTCCGCTTCGGAATTGATACGGCTGGCATATCGGGGGTTACCAAAGAGAGCGTTAGCGAGCAATTCCTTGTGTTTATAAGAATCGACTGATAGCCTCGCACAAAAACATGCGCATTGCTTAAAAAAAAACAAAAAAAAAAAACGAAGCATTTGCGTTGGCCTATTGCAGCATTTTGTTTTCCTAATGAGTATGGTTGTGTCAATAAACGAGTTTTATCTCGCACTTAGGACGTTTTACTATTTCTCAGAAACTGCGTGTGCCACGTTGTTCACCGGAGACTCCGCATGGCTCCGGTGACACGTTATCAAGCACTACGGGTTTTTTGTGAACGAAATGTTTCAACTTTTATTTCGCCCTTGCGATACACAAAGCGATAATAATGACAGTGCTGAAGAGATATCGCTGGGCATCCGATACACAAAGCGATAACGGGTGCGCTGTGCAGATCGGACCAGACTCTGCTCTTCAGGCTCGTATGCCTCGGTGCGAATGTCATAATGGAGGTCTACTAACTCGCGCACTCGGCAAACATTTTACCTAATTGTAGTGACTTGAGCCTTGAACAATACATCACTCTGTGTAATGGCATAATGCAGGCCTACTAACTCGCGCACTCGGCAAACATTTTCCTTAATTGTAGTGACTTGAGCCTTGAACA